GCGCTGCCGCGCTTCCCAAGCGGCGCACTATCCAGTGCGCCACCGGGCCGGCCTACCTTTTTTTTTTTTTTTTTTTTTTTTTTTGTCAAGAAAAGTATAATTTAAATTCTCTGACATATTCCTTTCCACAGTGCATGGGTGAGCACACCCCATCCTCATTCCCACCCATAGAAATATCTCATACACTTTATCTTAACAAAAATGAAATCGTACTAAGTACACTGTCTGATAATCCACATTTTTCATTTAATGTGATATATTCAAATACCTATTAAATATATGTTGTGATGAACTTTGTATATTCTAGGCCCTTGTATTATTTCCTTAGCTTACATGTTTAACAACATGTTATTAATGGGTTAAATAATGAGTGTACGTTTAAAGTTTTTGATATACTGTCTCTCCAGAAGTATCTGTGTACATTCTCACAAGTAATACATTAATGCATGGATATCTTTACTTCCATACTTTTTTTTCTTTTGTTGGCTGGTTGGTATAGGGATCAAACCCTGGGCCTTGGTGTTATCAGCACCATGCTCTAACCAGCTATGCTAACTGGCCAGCCCTTTTTTGACACTGTACATTTTCAGTCTAATCGTTGTCAAGCTAATAAGAACAAATTACATCAGAATATTGTTTCCCATTTCATTGATTAAATTAGTGGTGTTGAACATTATTTCAATTACTTATTGCCTATTTATATTGCTTCTATGTGATTTGCTGGTTTGTATCTCTTGCAGTCAGAAGAAGTACTTTGTATGGATTGAATGGTTGTAATGTATTGAGATTTTTTTTTTTTTTTTTTTATGGCCCAGAATATAGTCTATCATGGTAAAAGTTCTGTAGGAATTTGGAAAAAAAAATGTGTTGTGTAGTTATTGGTTAGAGTATTTTGTAAGTGTAAACTGTGTTAAGTTGGTTGATAGTGTTGTCTAAATCTTCTATTTTCTCTTTCCTTGTTCTATCAGTTATTAAGAGAAGGTTATTGAAATCTCCAGCATCGAATATGGGTTAATCTTTCTCCTTGTAGTTCTTTCATTTTTTTCTTTGTATATTCTGAACCTCTGTTATAAGATACTTAAATATTTTTGACTTTTCTTTGTATTCCCGATAATATTCTTTTCTCTGATGTCTACTTTTCTGGTGTTAATATAGTCACTCCAGCTTTCTTTTGATTAGTATTAGCATGATACATCTTTCTTCATCCTTTTATTTTTAACTTATTAGTGTCTTTATACAAAAAGTGATTTTCTCATAGTTAGCATAAGTAGTATCTTTCTTTTAATTGCAATGTGCCTTTTAATTGCAGTGTTAAAATCATTTATATTTCATGTAATTATTGATATTCTGGGGTTTAAATCTACCATCTTGCTATGTGTTTCCTTTTTGTCCTATCTCTTCTTTGTGTCCATTTTTTCCTCTTTTCTGCTGTCTTTTGAATTCTATTTTAAAATTCCCATTTATCTCCCTTGTTGGCTTATTAGCTATAAATTTTTGTTATGTTAGTGATTGTTTTAGGGGTTAAAGTGTAATATTTAATGTATCACATTCTAGCTTCAAGTGCTATTATGCCATTTCAGGTATTGTATAAGAACCTTACAACAGTATAGTTATATTTCTTCCTTCCTGGCTTTGTGGTGGTGTCATACATTTTTTTTCTATATATGCTATCTACTCCACGGCACATTGTTATTCTTTTCGCTTTTAAGTCAATCTTTTCTTAAACAGATTTAAATAATCAGAATAATGTCTTTTGTTTACCCCCTTAGTTACCATATCCAGTGCCTTTTATTTTTTTGTGTACACCCATACATATTTCCATGAATATCATTTTCCTTCTACCTAAAAGAGATACTTTCACATTATTTTTACTGTCAGCCTGCTGGTGTTGGATGCTTTTACGTTTTGTATGTCTGAAAAATCTTTAATCTTCATTTTTGAAAGAGATCGTGCTCATGCAGATTTCTAGGTTGACATATTGTTTTCTTGCAGTACCTTAATGAGATTTCTCCACCGTCCTCTAGATTGCATTGTTTCCTATGAGAAGTCTGCTGTCATTCTTATCTTTTGTTTTACTGAACCTGCTGTGTTCTTTTTTCTCTAGCTGTTTTCAGTATTGTCTCTCCATCACTTGTTTTGAATAATTTGACTGTGATGTATCTTGTAGTTTTTTTCATGTTTCTTTTTCTTGGAGTTCGTTTGCTTGAACTTGTGGGTTTATTGTTTTCATGAAATTGGAAAGTTTGGGCCCCTAATTTCTTCAAATATCTTTTTTTTTTTTTTGTCATTCAACTTCTATTCTGGTACTCTAATTATGTCTGAGTGTATATTAGGCCACTTGAAATTCCCCACAGAATGCTGATGTTCTTTTCAATCTTCTTCAGAATTTTTTTTTCTATGTTTGATTTTGGCTAGTTCTGCTGTGTCTTCATGATCATTAATCATTTCTTATGAAATGTCTAATCTGCAGTTAATCCCATCCAGTTCATTTTTAATTGAAGATGTACTTTTTATCTCTTGAACTTTTAGCATATCTATACTAACCACGTTCAGTCTTTTCCTTCAGCTTCCTGAACATTGCTTGGTTGAATTTTTGATTGAATGGCAGACATTGTGAACTTCACCTTTTTAGGTGTAGTTATTGTAATATAACTATAAATGTTCTTGGCTTTTGTTTTGGGATGTGGTTAAATTACTTGGAAACAATTTGATATTTGGGGGACTTGGCTTTATGATTTGTTATGTGGGCATTTAGTGCAGCATTTAGTCCAGGACTAAATTTGTACCCCTAATGAGGCAAGACCTTTGTCAGTACTCTACCTGATGTTCCATGAATTATAAGGTTTTCCATTCTGGCTGTTGGGAACTGGTACTACTCCTGGTTTTCTGTGAATGTGGAATTATTCCTTCTCATCTTTTGGAATGATTTCATTCTTTGGCCTGGGGTATTTTCCTCACACACATGATCAGTTATCAGGACTCAGCTGCAAATTTGAAGGATGCCTCTGTAGATATTTTAAGTTCTTTCTCGGTGCATTGCCCTTTTCTTTGTTATTCTGTCCTATGAACTCTGTCTGCCCTTTTCTCCCTGACTCCCTGCTCTGTCTCCTAAATTTAAGGAGCCTGCTGGGCTCTGCCTTGGTTCCCCCTCCTTGGGCTGTGTTCTGGAAACTGTCTCCATGCAGCACCCTTGCTCAGTAAAGGAGTTTGCCTTATTTGTTATCCATTTCTAAGGGATAATATCCTTTTTTGCCTGATATTTAATGTCTCAGAAAGCATAATTTTATATATTTTGTCCATTCTTTTAGTTTTTTCAGTCAGGATATAAATCTGATCACTGTTATTCTATCTTGGCCAGAGGCAACGTCTAATTTTTACATTTATGTGCTCACATTTGTCAGTATTTAGTTTTGATTGTTTCTTTCATATGCTGTTTCCACCCAAATGTTTAAAAAATTACCACTCATGGGAGTATTTTTTTTTTCGTATTTCATCTTTATTTACATTTGCATCTTTTAATCCATTAATTTTGATATTCAATGTGAGGTAAAGGTTCTAATTTTTTTCCTCCCTCCCTCCTTCCCTTTTCTTACTCTGTCTCCTCTCCCTTTCTTTTTCTTTCTTTCCTTCTCTGTGTATTTTATAAGTGGTCAACCAGTTGTCTCTATACTGTTTGTTACATAATCCATCATTTGAACAATGATTTTAAATTTCATTTTTATCCTGTATACTTCCATTGAAAAAAATCTATAGATTCTGGAGCTAGTATTATTTTATTACTTTAATTTTATATATTTTATTACCTGGTAGGGAAATCCCACTTATATATAGCTTTTCCCTTTTTGATTGTCCATTCTTCCAAATTAATTTTGAAATTCTTTTGTCATATTTCTAAAACAAACCAAAAAATACTTCTTGGATTTTTTTATTAATATAGTTTATTTCAGTTACTAATTAATTAATTTGAAAAAGAAGTTATACCTGTAATAGTCTTTTTGTTCAAGAACTTTCCCTTTTATTTAGGTCCCTTACTAGACTTTTGTAAATACTATTTTTTAAATGTAGATCTTGTACATGTGTAGTTAAGTTTCTTCCTACATGTTTTAGACTTTTCCTTCCTTTTATGAATGAGGTTTTTTTTTCTAATACATTTTTAAGTCATTATAGTTGATATATAGGAAAGCTATTAAGTTTTGTAGATTTTCTTTACCTGGGTCTTGTAATAATAGATTTTTTTTTTCCCTCTTGGGTAATCATGTGTCCTATAAATTTTGAAGATTTGGTTCTTTCTTTCTAATTTTTATATGTTTTTTTTTCTTATTATACTGTAAAGAAGTTAGACAACATTGTTAAATTGTAGCAGCTCTAATGGGCATTTTGTTTATGTATTTTCCAAGGAAACTCCTTGTTCAAATCTGCCATCTAACAACAGCATGCATGGTCTAACTTATCCCAACAAAAACCTACATGAGATGAATTTCCTTCACAGCCCGTTGTGTCAGAATGAAGGGGTTGAGGCTCGTAATCTGTAATTCAGTAGGCAAAAAAGAATTACTTCCCTGAGCTCTTTGGCATTTAGACAAAAGAAATTATTGGTTGATTTTTAAAAGAAATTTTGGTAATTATTTTAGTACAATAAATATCCTGTTCATTCTTTCACTGTATGTCTCTAGATATTACATTTCTTGTGGCCTCTTCATAATCCTTAGAATAGTCCTAAGCATAGAGTTGATATAAAATAAATCCATTTTGATGTTTTCTGTGGAGCAACAGTTATTAGGAACTTACGTATGTTTTTGTCAACTGTTATGTTTTACAGTTTAGTTTTTCAACTGTTATTAGTTCAAAGCATAGAAATGGGTAAATTTTTTACATTCCTGGTTAAGAGAGAACTTTATAATATTCATAATGTATATCAGGATTATTGGAAATATTTTAACATATTAAGCCATCTTTAATTTTTTAGTGTCTCAGCAGGTGAAGTTAATTCACCATTATCACCCCTCACATGGCAGGTAAGAAGAAATTAAATCACTGTTATATCTCTTATTTTGTTCTCATTTATTTAGTTAAAGGAAATTGTCTTATTACAGCCCTTAGAAAATCAGAAGGATCAAATAGGTGAACAACAGTGGCCAGAATCTCAACCTATAATCTGGCAGAGTGAAGAAAGGAGGCGGAGCAAACAGATTAGAAAAGAATATTTCAAGGTACTTTATTAAATTTTAAAATTTGCTTTGTAATTATTAGTTTTGACTTTATCAATTTTACTTTGAGTTAATAAAGTTGAATATAACTCTCTAGTTAAATGTAATAAAAGTTATGTTTTATCTTGATTTCCTACATATATGTGGTATAAATTTACTTCCTAGTTATATCCATAAAATTTCAGTAATTCAGAATAATTAAGAACAAATAGATCAATATGAATTGTGATTTACTGAATAATAATAAGAAAGACGAATGTTCACTCCACTGTTGAGAATGTCCTTTTTCCTCATGTCTTCTTTGTAGTGATATGTAGTATGTTTTAAAAGAATTGTCCAGAAAAATTTTCTCATTGGATTTGTTTCAATAAGTAGTTGACACATATTTACAATTAGCATTTAACTGTTTCTGTGTAAATAAATGCTATTTGTTGTAAAAATACCTGAGAGCAGTTTTTTTCCATTTTCTTTTTTTCTTATTACCTTAGTAGATATCTTAAGAGAGTCTTTTATCTTAGCTAAAATAAAAGGTCAGATCATCTGAATTATCCCAAATTTCTAGTTAGCAGGCTTTTAATGAAATTTTACTGGGTGCGCCTTTGTAAATAATTTATTATTATCTATTTGTGGCTAAGGTCTGCTATTTTTGCAGAGGCCATTCCTCAGAATTTGGGATAATTTTCAATACTAGTGAGAATTTATTATTGGAATTCGATTCAGATGAATAGACAAATAAGCTATTGATCCATGAATAGTAAATTTTGTTGCCTTTGTGCACATTTTCTATTTCCTAAAGTCTAATTTTTGTCTAATAATATTAATTTTATCTAAAGACATAGTAGTAAGCTAAATTGTAGGTAATTTCAAGTTTATATCACTAATAAATAGGAGTTTATTTCATGTTTTTCTCTGTTTGGTAGAAATAGGTCTGTATGCATATTGATCTGTTTCCATATATGGGAGTGTAACATATGTTTGGAAGTAGTATCACATGACCAAAACAAAACTGTTATATGTCTTAGCAGATCTGTGATAAGTTTAAGCCTTCAGCAATAATTACCAAGGTTCTTTTTTTTTTTTTTTTTGTCTTTTTGTCTTTTTTCCGTGTCCGGCAACGGATCGTTACCAAGGTTCTTTTAATGAGCCTTTTGTTACTTGGTCAATCTGAAAGATAATGAAAAAATAAAAGACATGAAGAAAAAAGGAAGGACATTACAAGGAGAACCCTTATCAGTAATGGTAAAATTCTGTTGATCCCAACCCTTTACAGATTTCCACTTATGATTACATTCCAGCAGTTATTTTAAAGTTTCTCTTTTTAGTTCATGGGACTTTGAACAAAGGCGCTGAATAAAATTTGTTTATAGGTAAAACTTGTTGAATGCCTGTTCGTGTGGGGGAAATTTCAGTATTTCTAAGTAATAAAAGAGATTTTATATTTATTTGATCTCCTTTATTCTAATGTAGTAAAAGCCATACCAGTTCTGACTATCAAAACATTTGCATAGCGCTTACTAAGTGCTAGGCACTGTTCTAAGGGTTTTACAATTATCAGCGCATTTAATCTTCGTAACAACTCTATGAGGTAAGTACAATTATCATCATTTTTATTTTACACATGGGTAAATTAAGGCATAGAGAGGCTAAATAGTATGACTCAGGTCACTTAGCTAATAAGTGTCAGAGTCAGGATTTGAACTCAGAGCCTCTGCTATGCTGTCTCTTTACTATGGATAGCCTAATATCAAATGAACAAACACTTTCAAATAAATATAGTTCTATTGTTTTAAAAATATTTTACAATAACTTAAGTGAACTTCTCAGTAAAGGATTAATGGAGGCCTCAGTGAGCCTCTAAAAAATAAATAATTCTTTGGTTTATGGCATTATTTGTTAAGAAGTATTTTATTTTGTATGGCTTAATGTACTTTCTATCATATAATAATTTCTATAATATAATTATGTTATGAAGTTAACTGTTGCTTTGTGTTGCTTCGCCCCCCATGGATTTGTCACCCCACTTCCTCTGGGTGACAGAAATGCAAAGGATTACTAAAAGCCCATCTCTACTGAGCAGCGAGAGGCCCCGAAATGGTTAATCTCCCGCAGGAACCCTCAAGAGAGAGGGATCCCTTCCTTGAGAAATTAATGCCGAATTGGGGTTCTCTTCCTGCATTTATTTTTCAGACCAGGAAGTTACAGGAAGAGAACAAAGATGGGGTTATAGTTTAACAATATATGCTGGTAACTTTCAGTGAAACAAACCAGATGACATTCCAGTAAGGCCATTAAGTGGTCCTATCAACAACAGTTTGATCTTAGCAAACATTCCTTCCTATAGCAATTTCTCAGTATCTTTACTTAACAATCAGTAACTAGTCTGTCTTTGAGCCAGCAACCTGCTGTGCCACAATTCTTATCTTGCAACAGAGACTTATACCCTGAGGGAAATTTCCAGTCCTCACAAGGTCAATATTTGAAACTGCAAGGCTTTGGAAAACCAGGCCCTGTGAAGTACATATACTTTTTAGTATATTCCACAGTTAACAAATATAATTATGTTGTGAAGTTGCTGAGAGATCAAATGAGATAATATTTGAAGTGCCCATTGCATCATCATCAACAATTAACAACAAATGTTAATTTCTTCCTTACTTGGTAAAGTAGGTGCAAAGATAAGCTTGTCACTGGGAAATGTTTTAAGGAGATGTGTAGTTCTCCTAAATTTTCAGAAGATGTCAGTGTTTTCACTGCAAAAAAAATTGATTATATTGACAATTTTTTCCTAAGATGTCAAGAAAATATAAAATTGAGATACCACTGTCTAAATTAAGTCAAAGTCATTATTCATAATTACCAGTATTTTCATGATTAAAGTGTCATTAGTGTCTATGAAGTGTCTTTCAAAGACAAAAAGGAAATTTCTCTTACTCACCTATCTCCCTCCCAAGAATTGAAAGGGCTATTTATAGGATGTATTATTGAACTTAATCTGGATTTATAGTTCATTAAACAGTAAAATACAGTACTCTTGAGGTTTATACCAAATTATCACTGAGCTTCTTCAGTGATGGCACCTTTAGCTTTGCTGTGTTATGAAATATATAGAGCTTTTGTGCAACTTTATCCTAACACATATAAATGATTGAGCCACAGAATTTTTTTGTTTCTGTCCCATGGTAGATTATTTGTGGTGTTGTTACTCAGTATATTTATTGAAAGTGTGTGTGTGTATGTGTGTATGAATGAAATCCAGTTCTTCATTATTTCTTCTTAGTTGCGAAGACTAATTTTGGATAGATTTTTCTCAGGTAAGCCCCTGGAACTAAGTAAAAAATATTTCAAAATACTGGCAAGATTATTTCAGCAAGAAGATAAGTTGGGTCAGTTTATATGAGTAAGCAAATCATTGTAGGAGAGTTACATTAACTCGTAGATTCCTAAGCCACTATTGTATAGATTACTATTCTAGTATATAAAATTTAATGTCTTTGTAGTCAAAATAAAATCACTGCATTTTTCAGAGTTATTCTAGGAAATAGATGACTTTATTATATATCTTTTACAGAAATGTATTAATATTTAATAAGATGTACAACAAAGTATGAAAATCTAACCTTTTGTTGATAAATAATGTTTAATGTAAATTAGTAGCTTTAATTTCTTGTAAGAATGAAAACACATGAATTTCCAAATGCATTTGATGATTGATTTCTAAACAAAAAGTTAAAAGGCAGTAGAATAAACTATACCAAGTTAGTTTTAAATATTATTTATTTTAATGTCATATATGTTTTCAAATGTATCTCATTACTACTGTGATAAAACATTGTAATGACTCTTAAAATACATAGTAATTTTATAAATACAGTACAATATTTTTATTTAAATGTTGACTTTTAAATTTTTAAAATTTTTAATTGGTCCATAATAATCATACTTGTTTATGAAGTATGCATGGTATTTCCATACATATATACAACGTATAATGATTAAATGTGGATAATTGGCATGTTCATTACCTCAAACATTTATCCTTTCTTTTTGTTGAGAACATTCCAAATCGTCTCTTCTAGATGTTTCCGCTATACAATCAATTATTGTTAACTATGGTCACCCTACTGTACTATAGACCACTAGAAGTTATTCTTCCTGTCTACCTGTATTTTTGTACCCATTGACCAAACTACCCTTCTGGTCACCACTGTTCTACTCTCTTCTTTTATGAGATCATCGTTTTATAGCTTCCACATGAGTGAGAATGTGCAATACTTGTCTTGATATGCCTGGTTTATTTCACTTAATATCCTCCAGCCTCATCCATGTTGTCTCAAATGACAGGATTTCATTCCTTTTCATGACTGAATAATATTCCACTGTGAATATATGCCACATTTTCTTGATCCATTCATCTGTTGATGGACACATAGGCGGATTTTATATTAGTGCTATTGAGAATAGTGCTGTAATAAACATGGGAGTGCAGATATTTCTTTGACATACTGATTTCCTTTTCTTTGGATATATACCCTGTAGTGGGATTTTTGGATCATATGGTAATTCTCTTTTTAGATTTTTTTTTTTTATTTTTGTCTTTTTTGTGACTGGTAAGGGGATCGCAACCCTTGGCGTGGTGTTGCCCACACCGCGCTCAGCCAGTGAGCGCACCGGCCATTCCTATATAGGATCTGAACCCGCAGCGGGAGCATCGCTGCACTCCCAGCACCACACTCTCCCAAGTGCACCACGGGCTCGGCCCCTCTTTTTAGTTTTTTAAGGAACTTCTGTATTGTTTTCCATAATGGCTGTACTAATTGACATTCCTACCTTTTTTTGTGTGTGTAAGAATTCCCCTTTCTCTGCAATCTTGCCAGCATTTGTTATTTTCTGTCATTTTGACAATAGCCATTCTAACTAGGGTGAAATGATATCTCACTGTGGTTTTGATTTGTAGTTCCTCAATGATTAGTGATGTTGAGCATTTTTTCGTAAACCTGTTGGCC